CTCAAATACATCCTAGGGAGAAAGGAACAAGGAAGCAGGAGAAAAAGGTGCAAAGACTGACTACAAACCTTTGTATGTCGGAGCAGGTGGTGCTGTTGCCACTTTTCTGACTTTTGCGGTTACTGAGTTATCAACATTAACAACCATTACTGGATGGTCAATATGACCCAAATTCTGGCCCCGGCCATTTGTTTCTTCTGAGTGTTCCCATTGTTTCCTAATCCGCTCCTTGAGTTTTTCCAGTTTGATATCATGTTGTCGCCGCTTTAGAATATCCAATCTTTGGGAACTGCAAGTACTAGCAGAGGATGGAGAAGAGTCAGCCGGCCGTAACACCTTTGGATCAACGTCGTGGCCCATGTTATTCACAGAAGGCTTCAGACTGTTCGTATTTCCTTTGGCCCTGTTAGGCATTTCTTCTTCAGTTCTCGTAGGAGCGCCCATCTTAATCAAACATTCAGAATTTTGCAATGCATCAATTGCTGGTCGATCATTTAAAAATCTAACAACTGTATCATTAATCACTGATGATTGGGAGCTCTCAAAATCACAGCTATGTATGTTCCGTTCTTCTCGATTGCCTGTGATCCGGTTCCCACTCTCAGCCTTTTCTTCATTAACATCAACACAATATATGTGCTTTGACTCCAGATGGCCGGGACTTAAATTGGAAGGTGCACCATGGATATCCCTGTAATAAAAAATAATGAGTTCTGTGACTATAATTAATAACAATATATTGTATACTTGAAAATTGCTAAGAGTGGATTTTAAGTGTTCTCATCACAAAAATTAAGTACGTGAGGTAACACATTAATTAGCTTGATTTAGCCATTCCACAATGTATACATATAATAAAACATCATGTTGTACACCATAAATATATATAATTTTTACTTGTCAATTTAAAAAGTAAATTAAAAGGAAAAAAGCTTTGCATAAAAGTATAAAAACTGGTCAAACCGAAACCAGTCACACAAACTGGAGAACTCTAAGCTAACATCAGAAATCAAAAAAGCCTGAAATTCTAGTCAGTTAAAAATAGTAAAATAACCATTACTAATATCAAGACTCAATGCTAAATGCCCTCTCTATAAAGTTACATGGCAAATAATCTAAATAACCTGCATATTACAGAATAAGAAATATGCAAAAGATATGAGGAGAAATTTCCTTAAGAACTCCAGAAAACAAGATTACGACCTCAGCTCGGGTATTCACTTGATATCTATTACCATCTGTTACTCCTCTATGAAATCTTAAGTCCTAGAAAATAAATTCTCAAATATATATGTCATTTCTTTTTTTTTTTTTTTGAGACAGAGTCTCGCTCTATTGCCCGGGCTAGAGTGCCATGGCGTCAGCCTAGCTCACAGCAACCTCAAACTCCTGGGCTCAAGCGATCCTCCTGCCTCAGCCTCCCGAGTAGCTGGAACTGCAGGCACACGCCACCATGCCCGGCTAATTTCTTCTATATATTTTTAGTTGTCCAGCTGATTTCTTTGTATTTTTAGTAGAGACGGGGTCTCGCTCTTGCTCGGCTGGTCTCGAACTCCTGAGCTCAAACGATCCGCCTGCCTCAGCCTCCCAGAGTGCTAGGATTACAGGTGTGAGCTACCGCGCCCAGCCTTGTCATTTCTAAATGAGGTACCAAATTAACAAATAGAATGGGAAGTAGAAATAAAGTGGAGGTACAATAAATATCTTCCTCCAAATACATGTTGTTAGTAAAGTTAAACCTCTTAACCGAAAAGCACTTTTCTGGCAACTTCAAACTGTGTAAAGCATATCTAGAAACTCAGGAGTAAACAAAGAAGACTGAGTAGAGCCAAAGCACATGTTACAAAGTCCATATTCTCTGTTTATAAAAACACTAGCAGAAGTCTTCCTTCAGAGACTATTTTTATTTTACACATCATTCTAATAAGCTGTATCTTCAGAAAGCAGTTTATTAAAAAGGAGGTTAATGAAGACAAACAGGCCTCAACAGTGAGAAGAACACACGAATCATGAAAAAACAGCCAACAAAATATCCAACAAAACCAGACATAACAACAGTCTGGACCTGCAGTGTCTGAAACAGTAGCCATTAGCCATATGTGGCTATTGAGCACATGGTATGTGGCTAGTCCAAATTAAGAGCTGCTGCAAGGTAAGTTACATACTAGATTCTAAAGATTTAGGAATATAAAACATCTTTTTTGTGTGTGACTACTAAAAGTGTTTAAATTACACATGTGGCCTGCATTAACAGTTCTATTGTATAGCGCTGATCTAGACCATTTCGTACAAAGGCATAAAACCCTAAATGCCACAAAAATTCTTAAAATCATGACTGTATTACAACATAATGTAGTAACTATGCTTATTAGGAGTATATGAGGATGTGCATTTTTCTAAGGAGATAGTCTACAGCTTTCATCAGATGCTCACTGGGGTCCATCACCCAAAAAACTTTAGACCCTGCTCTGAGTAGCTGATTACTGAAGAAGCTGGGGCTGAGAAATGAATCCCACAGCTGCCATCAGAAACCAAGACTAAATGTGATTATTTTCACTATCTTCACCAGACTGCAACAACTCACGGTTAAAATGATTTTGGTCTAAAATTAGCACATGTAGAGAATAAAATAAAGCATAAAATGGTTAAGTTACATATCATGTCCCAATCTCAAAAGGGGATGAAAAACTGACCTCAAAAAAGTAATCTCTCACAGTCTTTCACTCATTCACTCATTAAATATTTATTGCATACATATAAGGGTGTTCACTACACAATTCTTTCAACTTTTCTATAAATTTGAAAATTTTCATAATAAAATGTTAGAAAAAAATATTTCTTGAATACTTAGTACATGTCAGGAATTAAACTAATGTTTTGAGAATAAAACAAGATTTGGGCCCTTACATATAGACTAGCGAAATGAGCAGACATGGAATCAAAATATAATGCAACATGAAATAAAATGCTGTAATAGAAGAAGTTACATAGTATTATGGGAGCACAGAGGAATGATTAACTAGGCTGCAAAAAAGGAGTGGGTTAGGAACACATTTGGCCATGTTTCATAACAGAAGGTAATAAAGGCGGGGCACGTGGCTCACGCCTGTATTTCTAGCACTTTGGAAGGCCAGGGCAGGAGGATCACTTAAGGCCAGGAGTTCAAGACCAGCCTGAGCAACATAGTGAGATCCCATCTCCACAAAAAAATAAATTAAAAATCAGCTTGAGTGTGACGGTGTGTATTTGTAGCATCAGCTACTCAGAAGGGTGAGGCAGGAGGATCACTTAAGCCCAGGAATTCGAGGTAGCAGTGAACTATGATGATGCCGCTGCACTCTAGCCTTGGCCACAGAAAGAACGAGGATGCTTCTCACAAAAAACAAACAGAAGGAAAAAGAGTTTTTGGTGATGAATGGAGTCTACCACAGAGAAAGGAATTCCATTCACAGCTATCCTCTGGGCATCTTTGTTGTTGTTCTCTTAAAAGATACATAATTTACACAATTTTAAATATCAAGTAGTATTCTTTGCAGGAAGAAAATGGGAATACAAACAAGAAGTCAGTTACTCATTCTCAATTCTAGTAGTGATGATGTTTCTAGACAAGTTGCTAAATGTTTAGAGAGTCTAAACTTTTATTACTCTTCAAGTTTTTCCCTTTTCTTTTTTCCAAACTATGAACTTTTACCCAGATTACCTGGCTTCTCTCTATATTTTTTCCACTATTTTTATTGCTTCAATACCAGGAACAACTCCCAAATTTATATTCTTAGTCCTGAACATTCCACATGCATTCTTACCCAAATTTTTAGATGCCTACTGAATATTTTCACTTAGATATTTCAAACTGTATCAAATGTAACATTTTAAAAATTGAACTGAACTCAATCCGCCTCCATCACCTAAATTCTTTATCTCAAATTTAAGAGTACAAACATATACCTAGAACTACCAAGTACCATCGTGAAACTCTTTGATTTATTAACTGACACTGTAAAACACAAAAAATGCTTACAAATGAAACAAAGAAATAGGCCCAGTAATTATTACTTGTTACTATTTGTCATACTAAGAGCATGAACACATTTAAATCATTAGTCAAGTGTCCCTCAAATGCAAAATCCTGTAATTTTATCAGTTGAATAGTCTAAACTACATTAACAAAATGCAACGCATTTTATATTATCCATACTATGAAAACTCATTCATCAATCTTGAACATCTAAGTTGCTGAAACAACAACAAAACAATAAACAAACTCACTTTCCTAATGAGAAAGAAATTTTAGGTGATTGATTACTGCTACTAAAAAAAATAAGAAGAAAAGAAAGCTAGATAAAGCTCATTATGTAGAATGTACAATCTGAGATATTAAGAAGAAAAAAAAAAAGCCACATTTCCAGAGACTGAATAATTTGCTTTCTAGGAAACAGATTTATTATAATAATGGTGGCCTGAGGCAAATATTACTATTTCTCCATCCCAAATATTTATCTATAAAACTATGCTGTAGTCGATATTTCATGTGAAAGATTTTAACATTATCTTTTGTGGAGAATAACAAAGGTAATAATACTAGAGTATTATAATACTATTTCATAGCTAGAGTGCTATAAAAAACTCAAAAAATAAATCATAATCTTACCATAAATATTACAGACTAACCCTATTTGATAATTTTTTTTCAATACTAACCTGTAAGAAACCAAAGGTTCACAAAATTCCACACGATTATTTTTCTTCACATTACTTTCCAGGGTGGTAGCTCTAAGAGGACTACGAGATTTCTCTTTTCGTGATTTAGAGGATTTGGAGGTTGGAGCGTTAACCCAAGAATCATCCATGTATCTACCATCTGAAGGAAAAGGAAATCTGTGAGAACACACGATATCAAATACAACCATCTCTGAATTTGGCTAGTATCTAAGAAAATAATTTAGGTATCTATTATTCCTGCCATCTCTAGTATAGAATATTATATAAGTGGATGGAAAATATTCAAGTTAAATTGTTAAAGTAGCCCAATCAATAGAGAAAGACTATATTCTGAGCAAACAATGCAAAATAAAATTCTACATATAAAATTCCTTTTTGTCAATGGCTCTCACTCACTTAAAAGAGAAGTATCAGATACAACCCACCAAAATCACAGGTTAAAAAAAAAAAAAAAAAAGAAAGAAAATCACAGTTTAGGTACTGACCCGCAGGTTTTAGCCCACCAATTAAGAAACCACAGACTGAAATACATGAAAGGTAATCAAAGAAATATTTGCACTGTCTCAATTTATGATATATCTGTATAAAGGATATTCCATTTATGATTTTAAATCCTAGTAAGAAAATATACATCTTATTAAGTCAACTAAATTTCATTTTCAAAGTGACATAACGTACCTGTGAATCAAAAAAGAAAAAAATCAGGCTGGGCACAGTGGCTCACGCCTGTAATCTCAGCACTCTGAGAGGCTGAGGCGGGAGGATCGCTTGAGGTCAGGAGTTTGAGACCAGCCTGAGCAAGAGCAAGACCCTGTCTCTACTAAAAATGGAAAAACTAGCTGGGCGTAGCAGTGGCGCACTCCTGTAGTCCCAGCTACTTGGGAGGCTGAGGCAGGAGTTCAAGGGTGCAGTGTGAGATATGATCACACCATTCACTGTACTCCCAGCCTGGGTGACAGAGCGAGACCCTGTGTCTCAAAAAAAAAAAAAAATATTTAACATATTTATATCTTTGGAAGTAACTTCATACATACCTTTCCTACTTATTTTTCGGGTAGCACTTGCAGAAGATTTCTTGGCATCCATGACGGAATCAAACACAGCAGTACTTGTAGGGGCTACTTCTAACTTGTTTTCAATGTGTCTCAACTAAAGTTTAAACACCATTACAACACATAAGTTAGTTCTGTAAATAATCCAGCTACCATCAATTTACATGATTATTTAAAATTATATTGTCCAATACCTTTCTTCAAAGTAGAAAAAACTCAGCAATGCTTTCTTATAATATTAGTTTTTCATCATTTATTACTTAAACTGTAAGTTGGGCAAAATGCTGCCCAAATTTAGACAAGAAAATCAGTAAGATTCTGAAGAATATCAAAGAGTTTCTATTTGTCACTGAATTATTTTAATTGTTGAGTTTTTTTAAAAGCAGTAAATTATCTGACATTATACATGGCATACCATTATGCAATATAGCCTATGCGTTTCACATGCAAAAATAAGAAAAGAATGATTTAGCTAGGCTAAAATTCAGGACTACAGGTATATAAACAGCCATAACTTTTTACAGTTTAACATCTATAAAATAAGTTTCAAAACAAGGAGAAACTTCACAAGATAGAATTCAGGTTTCATATACATTGTGAAATATAGGTCAACTTTTGGTATAACCACCAATGTTCTCAATTATTTTAAAAAGCACTTTTTTTTTTTTTTTTTGAGACAGAGTCTTGCTCTGTCCCCCTGGCTAGAGTGCTGTGGCGTCAGCCTACCTCACAGCAACCTCAAACTCCTGGGCTCAAGCGATCCTCCTGCCTCAGCTTCCCCAGTATCTGGGACTACAGGCACATGCCACCATGCCCGGCTAATTTTTTCTATTTTTTGTAGAGACGGAGTCTCACTCTTGCTCAGAGCTGGTCTCAAAACTCCTGACCTCAAGTGATCCTCCGGCTTAGGCCACTCAAAGTGCTAGGATTATAGATGTGAGCCACTGTGCCCGGCCTAAAAAGCATTTTCTACTGAATAGAGTATTACATGCTTCTGGAAAAAACTTAGAAAACAAAAAATATGTAAAAATTAAAATTAAAATCACCAAAATTGCATCACACAGAGATAAATGTTTTGTATAAAACTTTGATTTATCTTCTTTTAATTTTTGCAGTGGAATGTATTAAAAAAATTGGAATAATCCTTTATATATCAATAGTTCTGTATCAGATTTCCCCCCTACTTATGAGCCCCTTATCATACTTAAAAATTCTTCAAAAACATCCAGTAGTTTTGAAAAACAACTATTATTAACAAGTCAGCACTAAATTAAACTGGGGGATAAAAACTATTCTTATATTATAGATGTATAATGCTCATGTAGAAGAGAGAGAATATATATTGCTATAAGGATAGAGCCAAAATTTGACCTTGCACTGGGACCAAGTCTAGGGTATAATATTTTTTCCAGATTCATTTTCAAAACAGTTCTAAATATTAAAAGACAGAAAAACTATAAAAATACTTAGACAGTAAAGAAACAGGTGATTCAAATTCAGGTGGTATAGAAAACAAAAAAGGATATGTTAAAAGAGAAATTTGCCCAGAGAGCAAATGAAAATGAAGGGCCTATGTATCACCTGCCAAATTTGGATTCCTAAACTCCAGACAAGGTTGGGCAAAACACAAATGGGAACTGGTTACCCATAGTCATTATTCTTCAGCAGTATGAGAAAACAGCCTGTTATTGCCCCAAAAAAGAAGAGGTTAACTCACCGTCTATTCAAGGACAAGTTAGTTCCTTTCATTTCCTTCCTGACAATGAGCCTTCTCCATAAACACAGCCCCACCTTCCCTAATGCAGTCTCTATTTTAAATTTGCATTTCAACATACCAAATGAACAAATTTATTAAAGGTCAATAAAGAGCACAAATTATTTTAATATTTTATATGACACAGTGTTAGTGCTCCTGATACCTAAAGTAGTGGCATGTTTATTCCTTTACTATTTAATAGTTGTCGTTTATGGTCACTTTGTAATATACAGTACATAACTTCTTACCAAAATGTTAACTTCATTTTCTCATCCAAAAAACACCATAGAAATAATTTTAATCTATTCAGTCATAACAGGAAATCAATTTTAAACCAGAAATAAATAAATGGAAGCTAAAACTACTTACAGCAGCCTTGGTCTGAGAAAGTGCATCCCACGATGTGGTTATATCTGCTGGGAAAAACTGATATTTACTGAATCATAATCTCTGAATTAGATCTCGGAATCTGAATTTTAATAAGCTCCCAAATGTACTCAAAAGTTTCAGAACTACTTTATTAGGCAGAACATTCCTCAGCAAGTGATTTACTATACTTAGCCAAAATATGCTTTTTCTCCCTAACTACCATCCTATAAAGCCAAGCTTCCCAACATACGGTGTAAAGTTGAATAGACACTGATACTACTAGTCCTTAGGACAGCTGCATTGTCATTCCCACCCATACCTGTATCAGACATCTCCAAAAATAAGCAGCATCCTCAGTTTACTGCAATGTGCAGAAGAAATACAAAATTTTATATTGTACCGTATTTCACAATACAATGTGAAAAAGATTAGAAAACTACTCTAAACTTCAATCTACTAGTAGAAACAAAGGTAAAATCTATCTAGTCTTTCAGATAACAGCCCTTCAAATAGTTGAAAGCCACATAATAAATAAGTTATCCTTCTCCAAGATAAGTATTTTAATTGCCTCCAAACACTCATCAGGTGACTTGATTTCCAGATTTCTCAAAAACCCAATAATCTTCCTCCGAATGTACTCCAGTTTGTCAATCTCTCTCAAAAAATATCATGCCTTAAAGTTACCCCGAATGTATTATCAAAAAAGAATTCAATGAGACTATTTCTTTTGTTACCTGTACATTATAGATCTATAACTGTACTAGAAACTATATTATATCACTTATTGATATTAAGCCAGAAATTCTGAAAAATTTTACATATACTGGTTCATTTTAAAAAAGGATGCTTCCTTTACAAAACAGTTTACCAAAGGATACCTTTGAAAGAGAGGTACCTTGTTTATTTAAAACAAAATTGAATTTTAAAATGTATCCACTTTTTATAAATCAAAGCATATGTATAATTTTGACTTATTGAGTAGCCCAGAATTTAATACACATGATCCTAAACAAGAGATTAAGTTCAGTTTACAAAAACAAAATCAAAGCCAAGCACAGCAGCATGCACCCGTAGAGCCAGCTACTAAAGAGGCTGAAAGAGGAGGACCACTTGAGCCCAAGAGTCCAAGGCTGCAGTGTGCCGTGACTGCACCTGTGAACAGCCACTACACTTCCAGCCTAGGCAACACAGCAAGACCCCGTCTCAAAGAAAAAAATCATACCTTGAACAGTATCCTTGCTTTGAGAGTTCCTTGGATTTGGTAAAGGCACCACCTCTTTTGATTTGCTGCTCCTCATCCTGCCTATTTACCTGCAATCACATCATCAGTATTCACTGAATATCAATATTATAAGGTTAGTAAAGAAAATGCCCTGACTTATCTTGCCCTTCAGGAAAGTCAGAAAAAGACTGTGTCATCTCTAAAAGGTATTTTTATATCCACTTAAGAGTTTCTGATAAGCCAATAATTTTATTTTTCCTTAGAGAAATAAACCATTAAAAATTATATAAAGACCACCTCACACCCATTAGTATTGCTACTATCAAAAAAAAAAAAAAAACCAGAAAATAACAAGTGCTGGTGAAAATATGCAAAATTGGAACCTCCGTGCACTGCTGGTGGAAATGTATAATGGTACAGTTGCTGTGGAAAACAGTATCGCAGTTCCTCAAAAAATTAAAAATAGAAGTACCACACCTAGCAATTCTACTTGTGGGTATACACCCAAAAGAAACGAAAACAGAGTTTCCAAGAGATATTTGCACAAGTATTCCATGTTCAGAGCAGCATTATTCGCAATGGCTAATGTGGAAGCAGCCCAGTGTTCATCAACAGATGAACGGATAAGCAAACTGTCATACATACATAATAGAATATTATTTAGCCTTAAAAGGAAGGAAATTCTGACATATGCTACAACATGGAATAACCTTGAGGACATTATGCTAAGAGAAATAAGCCAGTCAAAAAAAGACAAATACTATGAGATTCCATTTACATAAAATATTACTACTTACAGTAGTCAAAACCATAGAGACAGAAAGTAGCATGGTGGCTGCCAGGGGCTGATGGGGAGAGGGAATGAGGAGTTATGATTTAGTGGGTTTCGAGTTCTGGAGATGGATGGTGGTGATGGTTACACAGCACTGTGAATGTACTTAATACCACTGAACTGTACACTTGAAAATAATTGAGATGGCAAATTTTATGTTATGTGTATTTTACCACAACAAAAAGGCAAAATATATCATGACTCAAAAAAAAGATTAAGATCTGCTTATGCTTAGATAGCTTGGCAATAAAAGTCATTATATTTTCCTATGAATATAGAGGAATCATTCTGTTATAAAAGTCACATAACATAGGAAGTATGGAAAATAACAGGTAGAAAAACTCAGCCCTACTCCCAAACTCCTAACTATTAAGATATTTTGTATATTCCCTTCTAATTTTATTACTGTAATTTCAATTTTGTGTTCTACTTAACTGCTGGACATTTATGGTGGTTTTAAAATATATCCAAAAATTCTTTGATACTCCTTTCTTGAAAAAGTGGAACTTAATTCTTCTCCACTGAATATAGGTTGGACTTAGCGACTCACTTTTAACTAATATCAAACGATAGAAGTGACAAGGCGTGACTTCCAAAACCAGGTTACAAAAACGCACTCTCTAGCTCCAAGATCCAGCCACCGTGTCATGAGGACAACTGAGCAGCCCTATCAGGAGGTCCAAGGGACAGAAACCTGAGCCTCCTGCTTGTAGCTATATGAGTGAGGCCTCGCAGGAGATCTCCGGGCCAAGTCAAGTTCAGATGACCACAGTCCTACCCTGACACTCTGCTACAACCTCCTGAGAGACCTTAAGCCAAAATCATCCAGATAAACTGCTTCCAAATTCCTGACCTAGAGATGAGATAACATGTCATTTTAAATTGCTTAAATTGGGTTGGGGGTGGGAGATTATGAGCTACAAAGTAAAGTAATAGATAGCCAATACAGTATTATGTCTCACTTTCTCTGTTACAAATAAACATTTGCATATATGAATTTTTGCTTATTTGGATTACTTATGTAGAACAGGATCTGCAAACCATGTTAAAACTTGACTAAAGAATGTGAAGAACACTTAGAGATTCAATGTCAAACTGTTTTCCAATTTACAATAATGTGAGAGCCTACTAGTTTCATTAATACCTTTTAAAACATTATCTATTCTTTTGCTGATTTAACGGGAAGAAAATGGTTGCTTTAAATTTGGTAGATGCTATCAGGTTAAATATTCTGCTGCAAATTTTAATCTTAGTTCCTCATTTGTGAATTACCTTTTCTTATCCTTTGCCCACTTACCTACCAGGATCTTAATGTTTTTCTTACCAATTTGACGAACTCTTTACCTTACAAATATATTAAACCTTTGTCATATTTGATAAAAATCATTTTATCCAATTAGTTGTCTGCAGAGGCAGTACAGTATGTTGAATATCAAAGACCCCAATTTAAATTTCAGAAAAGGAAAAGTTTACTTACAAGGTCCAAATACATAAAACTAAAAGGTATAATTAATTTTTAAGGGAGTTAATTTCACCTAAAATAATCCTGATTTGTTAAGTTTCCTAGAAAACATTTCAAAAATGTTCTAAAATAGAATTTTTCATAGATTATATAATGTGGTGGTTCCAAGAAACGTAAACTAGGTTTTTGAAAATAGACAGGGATGGCAGAAAAACTAAAATCAACAAATATGCCAATAGTTTAAAATTTTTTCAAACATAAATCTTTAATCAGAGCTGCCAATACAATTTTTAAAATTAACTCATTTTACTTTCCTTCTGATAAAGATATTTTTGGTCTAGCCAACTGAAAAAGTAACCAAACAAACATGAGTTATTCTATATTACTAAGTAATCTGTCAATTATTTGACAAATTTTCTTTGGGCAGACATCTCTTTGCTTTAAAACTAAAATAAATGCTAAAATATACAGTAATTACCAATTTTCCAAAGGCCAGGAGAAATAGATTAAATTACCAAAAACTGCATTATGTATCCACAATTTCTATGTCTAGAGTTTAATACTAACAAGACTGAGACAGTGTAGGCAGATGAGTAAACATGAAAGAAAATCTATCTCTATTTCAAAATAAATG